GGGATACTCAGGGTTGTAATCCAACACAGGGGAAGATGCCAGGCTGGGGAAGCTGGGCTGCAGCATGTTCTCACCCTGGCGATGTCCTGGTCCTTTACGCTAAAGCTTGGATGAGCTTCAGCATTGAAAAGAGCAGGACCTGCCCCCAAGCTAAGCCTTTACGTGGCTAGTTCCTCCATGCGTTCTTTGCAACCCTCCTTCCATTTAACGGGCCCAGCACGGCTGCTATTAGAGCATTCAAAGCCAGCGCCCATTTGAAACATTGAGAAGTGCCGTTGTTTGACTCGGAAGGAACCCGGACCTTTCTTACGTGCCGTGCCCAGCCCAAGGCCAAGCGAAGGACAGGCGGCTCTTCCTCACTTCCACCCCACTCCAGCTTCCCCCAAGTACCAGCCTTGTCCTGGGCCAACCCCACACCTCCTGCCAGGTTCTTACAGGGCACTGATCTTCCAGTAAGCCCCTCATCGCAGGCCCTTTGGCAGCGGAACCTTCTGTGTCTCCACGCTGGACAGAGAGATTGCGATCTTAAAATTCCCTGCATACTGTCAAGCATTAAACTTAATGCAGGGTTTATCCTAGATTTGCCCTTGAGTGCGTTCGGTTGTTTTGCTGCATAATGCATCAAGTACGCTCGTCAGACTCGTCACTGGTCCTTCTTAACTTTCCAGGCTCACACGCATATTGGCGACTGTTTCTGTTGGAGTCTCCCCAGTAAATCCACTCGAAGATGCTTGGAGAGCTGGGGTCTTTTCTCTAACTCTATCATTTCTCAGCCCAAGGGTTGATTTCAGTTTTGAAAATGCCTGGAGGTGGGCAAGCCCAAAGCCAAACGGGGAGGAGCCAACATTCCAAAAATAGGAAGCAATTTCGGCATATGGTAGCTTGGAGCATTTGGCTCAGGAGGCGCATTGAAATGCTGCACAAGAGCAGCATAGCAGAGCCCCAGTTGATTGGTGGTAGCGGGGGAAATATGGGGCCCCCGGAAAGGGGCAGAGACAACGAAAACTGGAGGGAGGCTCCGGGTCCCAGTTGTGGGTTCCCTGCTCGGCTATCTGGGAGACTCCGGATGCTGGAATTGGATTGGACCAATCTTCCATCCTATCCAGCTCTTCTGTCTTTATTTCTCTTGGAGGGCAGATTTGACTAGATTTTGTAAGGGAAGGACAAGGATTCATTTTCCGAAGGAGTTTTGAAAACTGATGCCAAAGTTAGGCCAGGCCGTGAGTGGGGTTTCTGGCAATGCTCACCACACACCCACTCTTCTGCTGCCCAAATCTTGCTCCTTTAGGGACATGTTCTTTCTCCAGATCCTCTGACAAAAGGGATCGGGCTCCTACTTAAAGAGCAGAGTGGGGGAAAGAGCCCCATTGGACGAGAAAGGGGAACAAGACCAAGACTGACTGTGAAATGTTAAATGGCCGTCTGCCACCAGTTTAAGGGTGAACCCTTATTTCGAGGGATGCTGTTGGGCCTTGATTCCTCTCTGGCGGTCCCTCCCAGGACCTGTGCAGTGATACTGAGGAGATGCTTGGCCTGCAACGTAGCAGATCATTATTACTTGCAACAAATATTTTGGTAAGACTTCGGCTGCACACAGCTCCCTTCTCACTCCAACAAAATGGCTTTGTGCTGGAGAAGAGTTCTCCTTGTCTGGTGAAAGAAGTTTGAGAAAGGAATGGGAAGAATGAATAAAGAAGACGGAACAGAATCTTAAGTTGGAATGGTGAAGTCTCCATAAAGCTTCCGTCTTTGCTATCTGAATTGTAATCCAACACATCTGGGAAGCACCCAGCTGGAAAAAGGCAGCCGTTCAGCTAGAGATCCCATCATATATCCAAAACAGCTCTAAGAGAAGGGTCTCCAAACATCTTGGATCAGTGGGCACACATTTGCGATCTTCAGAGAGTGTTGTGGGTGCACTCACAAAATGGCTGCCATGGTGGTTTGGCCACTTCCAAAACACCCATTTCTCAGAAGACGCACTGGTGAGGCTAAATGAAAAGCCGCTTTTCCAAGGCGAAGTGGTGTCTGAGCTCCAAAAGGCGAAACCGCCCTCTCTTGATGTTGCACTGCTCTGAGGAATAAACCTAACCCATAGGTTCTTCTTACTGCCTAATGACACGAGTCATTTGCAGACCAATTCACATCTCCAGGCCCCGAATCTGGTGCACACGCCCTCTGCCTCCTGTGAGCGTGCCCAGGTCTTCTGAGAGTGTGGATCCACAGACTCCTCTCTGTCCATGAATAGGACTGAGAGACAGAACAGATGGTGGCTGATAGACAGCAAACTTCTGGGCCCAAGGAATTTTGACAGCAATCTCTCGTATCAAAGCACCTCTCTTCCTTCCAGCAAGCAGTTGGCCAGGCCATGGGGTGTTGCTTTCCCACAGAGATACGGAGCTCTCGACAAGGCGAGGACGCAGCTTCTCCTCGAAGAAGGAGCATTCCAGTGTTACGAGATGACAGGCGCCTCTGAGAAAAGCCTCGTTTCTCTCTCTTTCATTAGCCCGACTGTCTGTCAAAGGCAGGTCTGTGGTCACCCAGAGCACCCACGTTTCCTGGGACAGAATCGGGTTTTTGCCACGTGTGTGGAACTCAGAAATGTCAGCTTCCATCGTCGGAGGCCTTCCTAGCTCCACCCTACCCCCTCCCCACCGCGGCCCTCCCGGGATCCACCGACCAGCCTGCTTTTCAGCGTGCTGAGAACTGGAAGCAGCATCCCTCGTCTCTGCCGTGGTGGTGAATCTGGGGTTTGGGAACAAAGGGAAGGAAAGGACAAAGGGAGAGCGGGGAAAGCACGGCGAGGGCGAGAGAGGGCGGAAATGATGGCATGCGAAGAGCTCTCCCACAGTGGCAAAAAGAAGCGCACTCAACAATCCGTAGAGGGGATGAAGTGTCTGCATGTGCTGATTTGCGTGAGAAGAACGAGTCGGGGGGACGTAGACTCAACGTGGGGCCTTGACACCAAGTTCCTTCGGCCAGGCTCCTGCTGAAACCAGAACTCCCCTGCAAGTTCTTTCATTTAATCAAGCTTCAGTGCTTGTGAATGAATGCATCTCCTCCTCCTCCTCCTCCTCCTCGGAGGCTGCTGATGCCCATGCCGTGTCAGTGGGACCGCTCAACCGCGCAGCAGCCATCCAGACCCTCGCGGGTGCTGTCCATGGTCCTGAACCCCGGGCCAGGCTACTTCCAGGACCACGGACAGCTCTGAAGACCATGGACCCAAGAGGCTGCCTGGTATGGATAGAAAAGAAACCTGTGCTCAGATCTTGGCTGAGCAGCCAAACTCAGCTGCTCACGCTGGCTCAGCCTCAGCGCCCCCCAGGATCGGATCAGAGCAGGGCAGAGCTGGACCGGTGTGGGGGGCCACTGAGTTGGCCCCTTGCCCCTCCAGCATCTGGGCAGATGGGCCAGTAAGCAACCCGTGCGCTGGGAAGGGAGCAGATGAGTCTTCCTTTATCTTCGGGCGATGTGTGCAAGACCTCAGCACTGCTTGCCTCACACAAAAGGATCGCCCTTCTCTTCAAATATGGATATTTTTAAAAAGAGCACATTGATTCTGAAAATCAGATCTGATTTTTAAAAATGCGAATGATCCTAAAATTAAGATTTATTCACAGGGAGGCCTTCTCCTCCTCCTCCTCCTCCTCCTCCTCCTCCTCCTCCATTAGAATGGATCTAGCTTTTGGCCTCCAGAAGCCTCATCACCCTCCGGCTGGGGATTGTGGGCACTGTAGTCTAGTGGATCTGGAGGGTGGCAGGTGGGTGAAAACTGCATTAGAGCCACATTTTTGAACCGAGAGATTCCTCTGCTTGGATTTAGAAGTCTTCTGGGGGCATGGTGCTTGTCTCACTCGAATAAAAGATTTATTGCTCCACATTAACTACAGGAAAATGGGGGGATAAAAGTTTTAGCTGGCATCCATGCATGTCCCTAATGAACCCGCAGGAATGTTAAGCATTTGTGCTGGACTGGAAGAGCTCCTTCTCTCTGCAGTCGTTTCAGTGCAGCAGCCAATAAATTCCACATGTTGTCAAGCAGGTGGCATCCTCACAGCCACCTCCAGGTCGCGGGTGGCCACAAAATAGACTTAAGATCTGATCTGATTTGCAGTAGGTTGACCAGGTTTCTGATTCCCGTCTAACAACAGCAACGACCAAAGTTTTCTTTTTTTTCCTCAGATAGTAGGCTGCTAAATGAAGAAAAGCTCACCTCTGTGTGAAAGGACAGGAGCTTTGCTGTGGTGGGCATCACAAGTCCCCAGGCTGAGTCAGGGCTGGTCCTACCACTGGGCAAAACGGGACAACCACGGAGCCCTTGCTGGGCTGTTCGTGGCTATGCAAGGATGAAGGCTACAACTCAAGAGACTAGATTAATGTTGCAGTAACACCAGCAACTCAGGAACCGGTGTGGCGTGGCAGTTCGGAGAGTGGGCCTGGAGATCCAGGTCTGAGACCCCACTCGGCCATGGAGCTGCCTGGGAGACTCTGGCCCAGTCACTCGCTCCCAACCTAACCTACTTCACAGGGTCGTTGTTGTGTGGATAAAATGGAGTGGAAGGGAACTTTGTCAGCTGCCCTGTGTTCCTTGCAAGAGGAAAAGAGGAGGTATATACGGGCATCATAATTGCATCAGTTTAAATAGATGTGCGTGTTTACTTATGTATAGATGCATGCATGTGTGTGCAAACATAATACAAATTGTATTAATAAGAGCATGCGTACGCATGTGGATGATTGTGATGGCCTCCATCTATGCAAAGTTAACCAGGGAAAACTCAGGAACTCTGTGAAATGGGCTACCAGTCCAATAAAAAATATGAGGGATTTGAAGTAGAACAATTGGGGGAGAAGGGGATACTAGAGTTGTTATTTCTGGGGTGCTCGACCCACTCCCCCCCAAAAACTGTTGCTTACGAGAGAGAGAGAGAGAGAGAGAGAGAGAGAGAGAGAGAGAGAGAGAGAGAGAGAGAGAGAGAGAGAGAGAGAGGGTCTCCTACCTTAACGTACTCGCTGCCAGATCCTGGTCCATCCTGGTGCCTAGAAAAAAAATAAAATAATCAGAAGTGTGTCATTAAATGGGGGGAAAGGAGGGGTCAACATGCAGGCATGCAGTTTTGCTAATGATCAGGCTGGGAGCAGACCAACCAGGGTTTCTTCGCAGGGAAGAAGAGTGGAAGCAGCTTCTGCGGAGCCCAGCTAGCTCAGGTTTGCTACCTGGACTGGCAGCAGAGACTCTGCAGGACTTTGAGCGGGAGTTTTTCTAGCCCCACCTTGAAACACCAGGGACAGGACCTGGGACAGTTATCTTGGAGATATGGTGCTTTGTGCAAACAAAGCAAGATTCTAGTCCTTAAGGTTCTGAAACAAGGGCTGAATTGGCTTGGAAGCTGCCTTAGACCAACCCATGCCTCTGGTCTGTTTAGGCTTGTGTTGTCCACCAAAAAGGGTTTCATGCTGGTGTTTGTCTGTCCGAACTGTAGATCAAAGTGGGGGCCTTCTGTATGTGAGGCCTCACGGATTTCATCCTAGACTGTGTTCATAGGAGTAAATGCCATTTTAGGGAATGCTCTGAGCATTACCAGCGTGTTTCAGGGCACGACTCAAAGTACTGGTGATTCATGTTAAAATTCACATGATTGGCAGTGGCTCCCAGCCGTGGAGCCCAGCTGGCGTTGGCCTGCAGCTCCTCTTGTTCTCCAGGGTCAGAGATGATAGGGCTTGTAGTTCAACGACCACTGGGACCCAGTTAATTGCTGGTGGGACGTGGCTTTTCTGCCGTCCACAGGATGTGGAAAGAAAGGACAGAGCTGTTAGGGCTGAAGGAGAGGGCCAGAGGCGTGGCCAGCGTAATTGCACACAGAAAAAACGCACACTTGAAGCAGCTCTTGAGGGGTTTGCACACGGGTCCTGATCCTTGTCCAGCGAGCGTATCCTTATTTGTGTGCGGCCTGCAGAGCCTCCTCAAATCGGGGTTTGTTTGCAGAGGTTCCAGCCACTTCCGAGTTAGCACTTTTTTACCTGGGAAAATACAGTCTTTCCCCTGCATTTCTCGGGGGATCTAATTCCTGCATTCCGATGTGCTGTCTGCAGCATCTCAGGAGACCATCAGATACTTCTGCAATGTATTGTCTCATTTGGTAAACCCAGTTGAGCGTTTGGTTACAACACTCCAGTTTTAAAGTTAAAACTGGTTTAATTTTCAGTTTTTGGGACACCAGCAGCCCTTACAGGAAAAGCTTTTCCTTTGTGTGTATACAGCACTGGCATGTTAACCTCTGTCACACTGATGTTCTAGGGCAGCGCCAACAGAAGTGGACGCAGTGGTCTGGGGACTCTGGGGAAGAAGGCCAATGCTGAGTGGGAACCAAGGGAGCTGCAGACCAATGCACCAGCTCGGGGAAGGCTGAGAAGCAGGTTTGGGTCAAGATCCTCAAATCCACATGCATTCCACTGAAAAAGCAGACGCTCAAACGCCTTCTGAGGCTCTCAGGCGATCTTTCGGAGCAGGCAGCATGGATACGAAGGAGCGTGGGGTTTGGCAGGCTGTGGGCTTTGTCCCCGGCACAGCTCAGCGGAGCCCCTGCTTCCGTGCAGCCAGAACAAGGACGCTTCCATGGGAAATTCCCAGAACTACCTGCCTCTGCCCAAGCGCCTGGTCTTGACGTCACTAAGAGGATTGGAGGGGAATTAAGGCTGAAAAGGCGAGAGCATGATTGGGGTAATACTGATGTCTGGCCAGTCGCTTCCTGTGAACGGTAATCTTCCCAGTCCCCCCAGAGTGCTGGAACAGGACCCCTTGACCCGATTCCACAAATGGCCACTGGGACTTGCAGGGAAGGCCACGCCGAACGGCGATCTCTCACCTTCTTGGGTCCGGCAATGCTCATTAAGCCCTTTAGCTTTAGGGCACGTACAAGCTGTGCCCAATAGCTATACTTCCACTAGCATCTCCTCTACCAGGGAGAGAGAATAGCACTTTCCAAAAATCTGAGAGGCTGTCACACAGCCGAAGGCCAGGAGCCCTTCTCAAGAAGAAGTTCTAAATTTAGGTTTTCGCCTGCTGTTTTCTCTGGTATAGGTTTATTCTGAGATAAATCATCATTTTCATTTTATTTTAGGATCATCATTTTATTCTGAGTCATCATTGTCTTCTGAAGCTGATGGTGTTTGTTTCTGGGTGTTTGGCCTTGTCACCAGAAACTGCTTTCTGTCTTTCTAAAACAGGATGGGAGTGTGCTTTTTTCTGACTAGCAGGCAATTCCCTTAGGGGTAGACTGTCAAGGGTGGTGAGCTGGGGACCTCCTCCTCTCCTGCCCCCCCCCCCTCACACCCTGCTAGAGTTGGCAAATCTTGCCTTTTTTCCAAGCACAAGTTCACTGGGGTCTTTTTCCACCCCACTCTGCAAACATCGCATGGAAACAGAAACCTATAACTTTTTTGCTATTTTATTTCTTCTAATAGATGGATGTTCCTGAGCAACTCCCCTTAATACTATAGGATGGCTGAGGATGATGGGAGCTATAGTCCAGCAAGAGTGAGGGACCTGGGAAAGGCTTAGGCTGTTGGGCAGTATAAAAATGAAGTGGTATCTGAGTCATTTAAGAATTCCTTGCTGTGTTCTGTTGCAAGAAGGGCTTGTAGAGAATAAAAAGGTTATTTTTTGTTTTATAAGCTCCCTCCACTAGGTGGCAAATGCATCACTGGCAAAGAAAAGTAAAAATTTGCCAATTTTTTGAGCAGAAAGGTGGCCTGTACATCTAAAACTATAGCAATAAGAAAAAGGGAGATATTCTCAAGTTGTTGAAATATACATCATTTTATTCCTTGGATTAGCCCATTGCAATGAGAATCCCTTACCATGTATTTTGGGTCTTTTGAGGGGTTCGGACCTTTTTAAAATGCCCGCTGAGATCTCTGGAAAAAAAAACTATCTCCAAAACGAATCCTACAATCCAGCTGTCCCCAACCTGACACCACTGAGATATTCGGAAACACAACTCCTACCATTGGCCATGGCGGCTGGGGCTGATGGGCGCTGCAGTTCAAAACACTCGCAGGGTCCCAGGCGGGAAAGGCGGCCACTGCCCAGCTCTCCGTTTCCCTCTGAGTCAGCTCGGGGTTTTGTTTTTTCCCAGCCTCCCCCGGGAACAGGGAGGACACTGGGAACACCCAGGTTCCTCTGCACATTTCCTCTGAAGCTTTCCTGCCCTGCACATCTGTTTCCCCAAAACGTTACCGAATAGCGGCTGCACGAAGGAACATCTTGCCGGGCGGAAATGGTTGCTTGGTGAAGAGGGCTGAAAATAACTCGCAGGATCCAGGGGTCAGGAACCAGACAGGGCCTCCATCCTGGCTAGAGAAGGGTGGGCCAGGGCAGGAGATGGCTGGGCTCACCCTCCGGCACCCCCCGAACGCATCTCTCTGCAAGGAAGTGGGTTTTAGCTAAACACTAGAGGAAGCTTCCTAGTGTCAGAGCTGCTTGACTCTGGAACGGACTGCCCTGCTGCTGCTGGGCTCTGCTTTGCCCCAGGAATTTGCGCAGAGGCTGGGTGGTGTGTTTGGATGGATTTGGAGAGCCCGTGCAGTGCAGGGGTTAAGAGCCTGTGGCTGGGACTCAGGTGATCTGGGTTTGAAACCCAAACACCCTCAAGACTTAACTTTGCAATCATGAGGGCTAGAAACCTGGCAGGGACGGAGGGGAAAAGACTGTTCTCAGTATTTTCAAGGCGTTTCAGTATTTTCGTTCGCCTTTCCTGTTTTTGCAGGTTTCTTGACTTGAGTGTTACATTCTCGTTTAAGTGAGAGATATCTATGTTTACAAAAAAAAAAAAAAAACCCAACCCAATACCAAACCCCCACACCCCACCCCACACATTTACCTAGAGCCGCAGAGATGTTTTTAAAAGTTAGGCTGACTTTGCAGGTATTCCAGACCTTCCAAGGGATAACTGGAAAGCTAGAAGTCCAGGCTAAGACGTGGGCAGCCCATAACATTGGCACGAATGCAAACGTTGTGTTTAAATATTAAACACCACACCGTCCCATCTGTCTTGGATGAGCAATATCGGTTCGTTTTTATGATTACGATAGCAATAACTCCATTTAGGAGAGTACGCCTATTTAGCCTTTCAGTGTCCCTGATCTTTTCTTTGGCATCGCGCTTTGTAGAATACACACGTCCATGTCTAAACTCAATATTTTTTTAAAATCCAATGTTCCGTCTGATTAGGGAATTGCAGTCTAAAATGAACCCATCTAGTTGACTGCCTGGGAACCAGCACTCCTTGGATCAACTTGGTTTAGGGGTGCGTTTGGTTTAGGGGAGCCACGCACGCATCCCAGCCCTGTGGGACACGTCCACAGATCCAGCAATGGGGGAGGTTAGGGCAGCCTTTCCTGACCAGGTGCATTCCTAGTGCCGGCGACCACAACTCGAAGCCGGCAAGTCATCCTGAGAAGTTGACTGGCGGGAGGTTCTGAAACCGGTAAAAGGAAGGGCTTATTCACACAGTGCAGTTAAACTGCTGAACCCATCCCTGTCTTAGATGGATGGCCATCCGTTCGGACGGCTTTCAGAGGAGATTGGACACTTTCTGGGGGGTGGCGAGCAGTAGCTATTAGTCCCGGTGGCCGCATGTGGCCTCCAGGATCAGAAACAATATTCCTGTGTGCGGCTGTTGCTGGGGAGCATGGGCACGGGGGGGGGGGTAGCATGCGGGGCTGTTGTATTCCTCTTTGCTGGCTTCTTGTCGGGCTGGGCCATGGCTTAGGAAGTGAGCCAAGACTAGAGGAAGTCCAGCGGCACACGTGCAACTCTAGTTGCGCAACAACCTCCTGCAGCGTGCGCAGCACAAAGAGCCAAGTCACGTGCGCGGAAGAGTGACACTGTGCAGTGTTGGCGGGCTTAATCGCTGCGTGGACGCTTGGCGCAAATGCTCAGCACCAAGCTGGACTCATGGCTGCGAGAAGGCCCACTTTCCAAGAGAGACAAGCCCAAGAGAATCCGATGCATTCCCAGCCGCAAAGTGGATTCCCAG